CTCCGAGCCATTAACAATTATACCACCTGCGCGTCCAAGCTTACAGCACCTGGTATTCATCCATTTTTATACCGACTACGTTCGATGTTGCTTAACTTCGATAATGGTACGCTGTTATGGCCGTAAGGTTAGTCCACGGTGGAATAAAGCTTAACAAATTAGTTGATCATTTTCGACACCTGATGCGCAAGTCTGACAAACGATGCTTACGTGAAATTACAATGATTTCCTGTACGTGTCGTCGACATTTGTTTGCTAAAATAATCAAGTCAAAACTTTATTTTATTTTAGCTGTTACTTTTGTTTCCTCTGAGGAAACCAGAGTGCCATTACCGTGTGAGTAGTCAAGGATAGAATTTGTAGAAATAGCTCAATATTTCCCAGAAGGATGCGATTTATAACCGGATGTACTTAACCTCTACTGCTAGACGGTCTTAAGAGGACTATACACTCTACTAAGAACTTCATCCTAACAGCATACGACACAGAGTGTTGCTGACGGTTAAAACGAAGTGGAGATTATAAAGAAAAACAAGTGTAAAATACAATTAACATCGTGAATATAGAATTCATGATCGTCTACAAAAGCGGTTGTCTAAACGCTCAGCTACGTATTGGGGACTTCAAAATTATAGGCATAGCGTAAGACGACGTAAAATCTAACAGAGCCATCAAATAGTGTACTGGAAAAGAGAAAAATGCTTTTCAGAATCCAAGTAATGTATTAAGACATAAAAATGACATTAGAAATAAAGAAAATAGTTCTGAAATGCTACGTAATATCTAATCACATATATATGATATTATGTACATTATTTACATTATTCGGACTATTGTCCTCATCTTTGTCGCCATATTTATTACAACGTTTCGGCCGTTGTACGCTCCGGCCTTCTTCAGGTGGTTGGAATGTCGAACTGAACCCTTTATTTCTCTCACTGGGGTAAACTGTTCTAGTTTCACGTGCCATGTATATTGAATGTCAGTTATCAGTTATATCCTGTTAATTTCTTGAGGACACATGGCATAGTGGATGAAGGCGTTAGTTAGATCCAGTTGCAGGACCCAAAGAGTGTGAGTTCAATACCCGGCTAAGGCAGTGGAGAACTTTCAGAAAGAAATTAACACAAAGATGAGGACAATGATTAATGTAAATAATGGCATGTGAATTTTGAACAGTCTCACAAAAGAAGAGGAGTTTTAATACAATAGAGATATGGTTCCAGCGACGAAAATAGGGACAAGAACAAAACGTATACTTACAATCAGAAAGAGACAGACTGAATTTTTTGATACGTATTATGGAAAGAGAACTTGAAGAATTTAAAATTCACAGGATATATTGAATAGAATAGAACCAGAGGGAACAACGTGTAACCTATTTTACAAATGTAAGAGAATGGATGGCACAAGGAGAAAGATCGATGATAAAGTGGTAAATATTTCTTTCAGCAATATAAGATAGGACTTTTCAAGAGCAATTATAACTGATGACATTAAAGGGCATAGCATATAAAAGTGTTATATAGGAATAAAGTGTCGCTGTCGACACTTGAGTTTGAACATAGATCGCCAGTGAGCAAATGCAGGCGATCCCATTAGTGGCGTGACTTCTAGATTGATCGCCATTTCTAGTCTATCCTCTATTACTATTTCTTTATATTGATCACTATTCAGTGGTTACTTTTTGAGTGAGTATTATCAAGCAAGTACTATTAGTGCGAGTGCTATTCGAAGGCGTCCGACACCAGTATTGTTCAACGGCGTACTCTAGTGGTATCTCCGATAACAAAGTCTCTACTACAACGAACATTACGAAAGTAGCAACGAGTATTCGTTGACATCATTAAAATAAGAATTGACACTTTGACGTGGTTTAATGATTAGCAAGCTTGTCTTATTAGATCTTTTTTTTCAAATCTGTATCACCGCATGCAATGCAGTAATGCCCCTAAGGGGTTACAGGGTGTGGACGAATTAGGAACAAAAACATTAATGATGAGCAGAAAAAGAAGAGAGTAATCAGTCGGGCAGTTGACACGAATATTTCGTATTTTGTATATTTAATCGGAATCAACATACGTATATGGTGTATTTATAGTGTTTTTTCTCTCGATCATCGCTATATATCGTTTGTATATTATTTTTACTTTATTTTATCAGTTGAATTGTCATCAGTTTTTATATATATATATATATATATATATATATATATATATAATATGAAGCTTCGTTATTGCTTAATATTATTTTATTTTAAAAGATATATTGTAAAGCAGATCGCACTTTTTTCGTAGTATAATTTAATTTCAAGATTATTTCGTAGTTTATTGTATTTAACCGACTTCAAATTTGTAAATAGTTTTAAATCAATTTAAGGAATATTATGGTAATTTATCTATTTATTTTTTTTCTATAATTTTTATTTCATTTTTTTATTTTTTGTGTGTACAGTCAAAATATAAGGCATGTTTATGGACAATTATTTTCATTTTGCGAATACATCCATTTAAAGTTAACTGACCTGTAATAATGTTAAGAATCAGGCTAAACGATAAAAATGTGATAGTAGGATTGAGTTTAAGTACTCCCCCCTCCCAAAAAAACACAAATAAAAACGGCAAATATTTAGAGTAAGACACTACTTAAGGAAAAGGGTTAAACTTAGGAACATTAAGATTACCTCCTCGATTATCCATTGAAACTGCTATCCACCAAAAAAAAAAAAAAAAAAAAAAAAAAAAAGAACGCACCGTGGAAAATTTAAAAGGTAGTTCGTGCAGTGGATTGGTTGTTATAAACATCCAATCAAGTGTGCGGAAAATGTGTTCTTTCTTCATCTAATTCATTAAAAAGCCAGGGTAGCTGTTAGCGTTTTAATAAGAGGTGGGGAGATCAGGGATTGGTCTCCCGTGATTGGGTCGATTTGGTGATGGGGAGTATGATGTTGAAAGACTCGAAACTCCTTGATCAACCAAATGAAAACATCACTGACGCCCCCATCGGGCGCCTACTTAAGAGCATATTTCTGAATTACACTGCATTTAAATTTTTGCAGATTAAAGGTAGCTGGAAAACAGTGAGGAAAAAAAACTGTTAGCATAGAACTTACGGTTGCATCTAGCCAGCTTAACTGTAAATTGACGCGAACCTGGCACCAGTCTAGTACTGCGCTTAAATTCCAAAAGTCTAGGTACCACAGCGAAGAGCGATGTTTATTTGTAATATATACAAAATGTAGCACAAGGCCAAAATAGGGAATGGGGGAAAAGGACGGTCTTCATCTGTCTTAATATTAAACTTAGCAAGCCACAAACACTGACCCAAACATGCAAACAATATTCCTAACGCCAAAACAACACATTCTTACCTACCTTTCTTATGACATCCACAACGAAGAGCGATATTTATTCTGTTCTCTACAGAAATGTGGCACAAGGCCGAAAAGAGGATTAGGGAAAGGACGGTCTTCTTCTGTCTTAACTATAACTTAGCTAGCCGCAAACACTGACCCAATCGTACGAACAATATTCCACAACAAAGAGCTCATGCAAACAATTACCAGGAAATTATTTATAGAAAAGATACAGAGAGAGAGACATACTTACGACGGTGGAAAACTGACTAAAGCCGAGCTGCCAGATCAGGACTAATAATATTGCATATGATTTCTTAATATTGCTTAATTGATTTTATCAAGTAGTTCAAGGTAAATAGCAAGTGCACGGGACTAAGTGACAGCAAAATTCTAAGCATGGACGAATGGTAGACTTATAAATATTTAAGAAAGATTCTGAATTACGACTGAATAGTAAGTTTGATACCCACAGAGTTCTCTATACTTTCGACCTTGTGTAACATCTAAGTTGCACTTAGAAAATCACGATAACATGTAAAAGAATAATGCAAAATTATCAAACTGAATACGTCTAGGGCTGGTAAATGGCTTTTTAGTTACTTTGAGAATGTGAGAAGTTAGAAAAACCCAAAACGCGTTTATTTTTCTCAGTCGCAGAACCATCGTTAATTTTTTTTTTCTCTTCGGCTCAGGAACCTTTGCAACATGCCTGAAGAACTCGGAAACGGAATTTGTTTAAGTATCTTCACGCTACTTGGATCTAGTTCTTCCCAATGCCACACTTCACAAAATAGCGAATTCTTTCGATATTTCAAACGGTTTCCCGATGTGATTGCTTAAAACCATAATGTCTTTAGTTTCGCACTCATAAAACATTTGCTAACTCTTCTTTTCCAGCTTGCTTGGCTGCCTTACACGAACATTAGCGTTCATAATATTTTTTGTGGTTCCTCCTATCGTGAGTGAAAGATCGTCTTAAAAATATCGCTTTCACACTTTCTGTTGGCAAGGAGGTCAGCGCAATACTGTCATTAATCAAAGACTCTGGCTGAAGGGAGTAATAATTCCTTATTTAATTTTAAGAGCCATTATCCTTTCAAAAGTTGTTCGGACAAGTGATTATATTCTTGTTTTTTTTCTTTTATCGCAAGCCACTTTAAAACAGCATGGCACAGTTTTCTTTCAATAGTAGAAAAAGCATGAGAGGAAATCCTCATAGGTAAAATACATCGATTAACAATCGTATAATGCTTAGCATTGGCACAAGTCCGGTGGAACCCGTAGAGCAACGAACAACCTAACCAAATCGTATACAAGTCCTGTTCGCCAACAATTAACTCAAACTGCAACCGTTGGGGTGAGAAACACTTGGTTAAGTTAATACAATGCATTAACCCAGTTAGTGTGAAGTGGTTTATTCCAGTGATTCTCAAACTCTCTGATATCTGATACCGGCATTTTTTCTCAATGTGTCACGTATCTGTAATATTTCGTGGTCATATTAATTAATACCGGAAACGATATATATAATGAATATAATAAAAGTTGACTATTTTTTATCTTCTATTTATTTTGCAAAAAGAAAAATTCAATATCAAAACATATAAAAAGTAATGAAAAAAAATCAGGTACAAATGATGACTTAGCATGGCCTGGATACCGACTGCGGACCAATAGTTGGTGGTCCGCGGAGCGGGAGCTGGAGGTCTGCGGACTGGTAGCTGGTGGTCTGCGGATTGGTAGTTGATGGTCTGCGTACCGGTAGCTGGTGATCTGCGGACAGGTAGTTTGTGGTCTGCGGACTGGTAGTTTGTGGTCTGCGGACTGGTATTTGTGGTCTGCGGACTGGTAGTTTGTGGTCTGCGGACTGGTATTTGTGGTCTGCGGACTGGTAGTTTGTGGTCTGCGGACCGATAGTTTGTGGTCTGCGGACCGGTAGTTTGTGGTCTGCGGACCGGTAGATAGTGGTCTGCGGATCGGTAGTTTGTGATCTGCGGATCGGTAGTTGGTGGTCTGTTGACCGGTAGTTTGTGATCTGCGGATCAGTAGTCGGTGGTCCGCGGACCGGGCTCAAATGATTAAGTCTGATCACTTCGGTGAAGTCACATTGGTCAAACGAGAAGCTCATCTAAAAATGGCCGACAGTCTGTTGCTCACTGAGGCAAATAATCGCTTATTAATTTTAACTCCTCGAAAACGAAAGTTCTCATTATTAATCCTCTGATAGATCCATTTTTACCTTCCTTTTTCATGACTGATGCTAACCTCCAGGTGGGCAACTAGTTGTGCCTTCTCAGACTAATATTTTCGGCTGAAATGAAGTAAACATAATTAAATTAAATCTATTGTTAGGTCAGATGCTAAGAAAGGGCAGAGGAAAAGTGTGTGAAAAGCAAACAAAAGAAACAATCTTGAAACACAACTCTACAAATTTTAATAATTTTATTACTGAGTATAAAAATAATTCTTGTTTTCTTTTAAGTTGAAAGAAACAATTTACAAATTTCCTCGTAAAGTTGAACTGAAAAAGTGTTTTTCTGTTTACAACATAAAGAAATGAATAGTATTAGTATAAAATTAAAACAGATATGTAAATGTTTAATGCGAAAATTCAGGATTTTACATAAATTTATGTATGCGTGTATGATGAATAATTCAAGCAGTCGGTAGAATGAGTACCGTATTATTACTACTGCTACAATTACGCTTAGTTTATATATCCCGCTCGTATTTTTTCTTATTGTAAACCATGCGAATTGTTTTACTTTGAAATATATATATATATATATATATATATATATATATATATATATATATATATATTGCAAAATATTGTGTTTTAACTTCAGAAAATCATGATGGTTCATGAATGTAAACGATTAAATAAAAAGTACGAAATCAGCTCTCGGTCTCATGCGTTGATATTACTAATTTCCACCTAATACAATACACAATGGCAACTCAAGGTACAAAGGTACCGAATTGGGTGTGGAATATGAGGTTAAGAGGAGAAAGTAGGCTGTGAAGATTGTCAGGACATGGTCCCAGCTATAGGTATATATGGAACACCAAAACCGGGTCAAAGTATTATAAAAAATATAAAAGACTTTATGGCCAAAATACCAGTAATAAAAGTACTAGTAATGAATTTAAAAAAAATTAACAGCAATATATTTTCCCAAAGGAAAATACTTACGCTCCCAGGAAAACTAAATTTCGGCAATAAATGCCCCATAAGATGTTGATATGCCACGAATCAAAAAACAAACAAACGAAAGATTTCGTTGAATATATATATATATATATATATATATATATATATATATATATATATATATATATATATATATATATATATTACTCAACAAAATACAAAATTATATATATATATATATATATATATTGTGAATCAGTTTTAATATTATATTAAAATATTATTATATATATACATATAGATTTGAAAATATTCTTATATATATTTTTGTGTGGATCAGGTTTATATTATTAGGATTCACTTGGATTACATAGCCACGGATTTTTTATATATATATATATATATATATATATATATATATATATATATATATATATATATATATATATTCACTTGTATGTATATTAATTTGTAACCCTGGGTTTCACGCTTTTGCGATCATCAGACAAACTCTCTATATAGGGTATAGTCTGTCTGTGGATGACAATATATATATATGCTCCCGAGAAAAATTATTTCGATTGAGCTCTCGGGGAGAAAAGTGAATTTGTATACAGTGATTATTACCGCTGCCGATGCAAGACTCTTCGTTAAGACGAATCGAGTTCTACAGACACTGGCGAAATGTTTATCTAAAAATCTAAATCCACCTTCATCCTTGCCGGGCATCAATATCATAGACGTAATCAAATGTTTAGTCACAGTGATGAGCTCTGAAACAGCAAAATAGTTTCTCTGTGAATGACAATATATATATATATATATATATATATATATATATATATATATATATATATGTGTGTGTGTGTGTGTGTGTTAGTATGTGTGTGTGTGCTTCTGTGTGTGTGTGTGTGTGTAAGTGTAAGTGTAAAGAGCAGTGGTGATTTTTTAGGTTCCTAGAATGGATCAGAATAATTCCCATTAATTTCAATAGAGAAAATTGCTTTGAGATAATACAGTGTGACCCGGATGTAAGAGAGTTGTCGGCACCGGAGAAGTCTCTTATATCCGGGTTTCTCTTATATCCGGGTTTGGTCTATTATATATACATTAACACGGGCTCTAATTTGGGACCAGAGAAAATCTCTCTTATATCCGGGTCTCTTTTATCCGGCTTACACTGTAACAATAATACGAGTTTAATTTATCATATATATATATATATATATATATGTGTGTGTGTGTGTGTGTGTGTGTGTGTGTGTGTTATAGTGGAATACACCTATTCTATAGTTAATAGACTCTCCCACTTATAATAAGTAGGAGCAGTAAGAATAACAAGGGAAGTCGCTCAGTGGGTCGGTCAGTCAGTCGATGCCGGACGACCGTTAGTCGGATACTAAAGTATCAGCGACCACCACTAGATTTCTCTGCGTCATTAACTATTATATCAAGTTTCTAACGTTTTGTACGTCGAACCTATTATAGGACCGACTTAGTACAAAATACAAGCCTCCACTGTGAAACCACTCCATAACAATTATTTGGCGACGACGATTCGAACTCATACGGAGGAAGAAAATCTTTCGTTCGCCATAACACACTTGGCGTACGAGGTATTCGGATTCATACGGTGACAGAGGAAAAAAAATTCACCCGCCATAACAAATTTGGCCACAAGGATTCGGATTCACACAGTGGAAGAGAAAAAAAATTGCGTTTACTACAGTATTATTTGGCGAAGGGATTCGGATTAGTACGGTGGAAGAAAAAAAATCGCTCGCCACATTATTTGGTGACGAAATTCGTACTCATACGGAAAAAAAAAATTTGCTCGTCGCAATTTCGGCGACAAAATATCGGATTCACACTTAAAAAAAAAGTTGGCAAAGTTTTTCGAAAGATAAGACGTCAACTTTGTGACGAAAAAAATAGTCGTATTTTCAACTGAGAAAATTTTTTTCTCGATAAGACACTTTGCTCAAATAGGTCACGAATTGCAAATTCGTAGGACCCCCCACCTTCTACAATATTTAAGCATTGTGTAAAATTTTTGCGAAGATGGAGGAATGTAAAAATATATTCCAGGATTTTTTTAAGTTCTAAACAGAACAACAGATGACAATATCAAAGCAACAGAAAACATTCCAGATGCAACAACAGGAGGAAACTTTTAATAGACAGATGCAGTTTCAACGAGAAATGGAACAGATGCATAAGGAGTTTCAAAACAAAATTCTGGAAATAACTGAAAAGAGGAAAGAGGAAAAATCTACAAAATGATTCTTTCCTAGAGAATACAATATGGAATTCAATTGAAATATTCACGTACAGTCCAGATGAAGAGATAACTTTTGAAGAGTATTATAAAAAATATACGGACGTGTATAACGAGGACTGCCACTCGTGGTCTGAAGAAAAGAAGGTTAGACTTCTTTTAAGAAAGTTAGGAACTGCTGAGCATAACAAATTGGTAAACTACATTTTCCGAAAACAAACTAGCGAGTTGACATTTAGCAAAGCGGTAAATATATTAAGTGAATTATTTAGTAAAAAGACATCTTTGTTTCACAAGAGGTGGAAATGTTTGAATCTGATGAAAGATGACGAAGAAAACTATATAACGTACGCAGCCAATGTGAATAAGCATTGTGAAGAATTCAAGCTAGCAGAGTTAAGCGCTGACAATTTCAAGGGCTGGTATCGGAAAGAGACGCAGAGCTGAGAAAATTAGTGCTGTCAAAATTAGAAAACAAACGAAGGATTACGTTACAGAAGTTGGCAGAAGACTGCATAAGATATGTTAGCGTAAAGAAAGATTCGAAAAAGATAAAACAGTCTGGCGTTTCGCATGTAAGGGAAATACACTACAAAAAAGAAAGTCAGTCTACCAAAAAGAATTCTAAAATTGCCGACTATCAAACGAAAAGTAAAATACCAGACAAAAATAAACAAAAAACACTCGAAGCCATGTTTTGCTTGCGGTGAACTTCACTGGTACAGATATTGCAATTTTAGAAATAATAAATGTTTCAACTGTAAAAGAGTGGGTCATAAAAGCTCGCACTGCAGGTCAAAAAATAAAGACAATAAAATAAAAAAAAATAAAGTCCGACGAGGTGAACGATATAATAACCAGAAAATAAGTAATAAAAAAAATAAAAATGCAACTCGACCTATCTATCATAAATTTGCATACGTGGAAGAAGTTGGGGAAACCAACTTTAATGAAGACAAATAAAATCGCGAGGTCAATGACGGGAGAAAAAATACAATTTATTGGAGAATTTGTTACAAACATCACGTTAAATAAAAAAAACGCGAAAAGCTAAACTATTTGTCATAGAAAATACCACGAACTTACTTGGTACGAATTGGATAACAGAATTCCAATTGTGGGATCTACCAATAAATTATTTTTGTTACAAAGTAGATTTTTTAAACTACGAAGCTCATAAATTAGTAAAGAAACTTAAGGGAACATTTTCTACTGTTTTTCTCCAGGTTTGGGAACGTGTACCAAGATGGAGGCAAAATTACAGCCAAAAGAAAACGCTCAGGCGGTATTATAAAAGAAAAGGAATGTGCTGTTTGCCTCAATTGAACAGATAAAGAATTGGACAGATTAGAGAAAACCGGTGTATTTAAAAAAAAAGTTGAATGGGTAACACCGACAATATACGTGAAAAAAAAAATCTCCAGAAAGTAAAAATGAAGCCGACATTGAGAAAAACTTGGGAACGAGTTACCCGCAGCCAAGGAAATGAAGTATTATTAAATGATTTAAATCAACTGAGGTCACCACAGAAAACGTCAAGAAGTACAAGATCAACAAAAGGGAAGCTAGAGGCTGAACAAATAGAACCACAAGAAGAACCTACAGAAACTGTGACTCTATCCTTAAGAAGCTCAAAGTGGAAGGTTGTTTCT